ACCATTCATAACATCTGGATGATTGGCGGTCCACCACTGTGCGATTTATTCTTCCTTCGATTACCACCAGCAATTTTTCCGGACCGATACGACTTAGGGACCTACAGGAAAAGAGCCTACTCCTTTTTAAAAGGCCGGCAACGTATATACAATTTCCTTGGTTTCCCTGGTGTTGCAGTTGTTCATGGGCAGCGGTAGTCACTTACCATCAGGTGAGCCACATGATCGTTTCCTCCCTCTCCTATAAAAAAATATGTACTATGAGCAAGCTTTTCATACCTTCAAAATTTGGGCAGTGCTGCTGTCCCTTCAGCGGTGCCCAGTTGACGTCAGTATTTCAGTCAGTATTTCAGTCAGTATTTCAGTCAGTATTTCAGTCAGTACAGTAGGGCTACGATGGCTATCCGAGTAAAGAATCAGAGTACGAAACCTATCCTACTGCAACTACCTTCACCGCTGCATTGGAAGTCGTTTTCAAGCTACTGAACTGGAAAGGATACAGTATTAACATCGATGGCGAGTACATCACTAACCTTAGATTTGTCGACAATATGATCCTTGTGGCAGAATCGCTGCAGGACTTAAGCACCATGCTCAATGACCTCAATAGTGCCTCCCAACGGATATGTCTTAAGATGAACATGGATTTTAAAAGATCATGTATAACGTTCATATCACTCATATGCCAGTAGTTATTGAGAGCACTAAAGCACGAAGTTGTTAATGAGTATGTTTACCTGGGACAAATAGTGCGACTAGACAAGTCCACCTTCGACCGAGGGGTCAATCGACGGATTCAACTCGGCTGGGCGGCGTTCGAGAAATTACGACATATCTTTTTAAGGCCAAGGCCCTTTTTACTGGAAATGAGGCATTCCACCTTAGTCCTCACGGGTGACAATGCATCTACATTTTGATTTGTAATAGAGGATAGATGTAGATGTCTATGGGCCGCAGCAACCACTTACCATCAGGTGGACTTTGTGCTCGTTTGTCATCCTTATCCTATAAAAAAAAATCTTCTCGTCAGGTATACCACAAAAGTTGTAAACGAGACTTTACAACCAGTAGGTGTTGCTAGTCATAGCTTATGGAACTGAGACGTGGTCCTTCACTACTGGCCGTATGAGGAAGCTCAAGGTTGATCAGCGAGCTATGGAGAGGGCTATGCCCGGTTTTTCTCTGCATGATAAACTTACAAATAAGGATATACGCAGTAGAACCAGAGTAACCGACATAGCCTAACGGATTAGGAAGTTGAAGTGAAAATGGGCCGGCCATTTAGCTGGAAGAACCGACAATCGATGCGTAAAAAAGGTTCTCGCGTGGCAGCCTCGTACCTGTAGGCGAAGTGTAGGGTGATCCCCACTAGATGGAATGACGACCTGTTAAATTTACATATTACACATAGAATCTTTCTGAATGCGTTACGACGTGTTATTGTTTTTTTGTCATTTTTTTTATATAGAATGTGGGTTACAAACAAACAAACAGTTCACTTGATGACAAGTGAATGTTGTGGCACATAGACATCTAAATCTGTCTTTGACTCTGAATTAAATAGAAGATACGTTGTTTTCCCTGGGGACTGAGATAGAATGCCTCGTTTCCAGTAAAATGGCTCTTCGGTTCTCTACGCTCACCTTACGAAACACAGCAGCATTAATCTGCTATTGTACGCTGGTATTCTGTGAAAGCGTTGTCCTTTCCCAGTCGAGCCGACCCATTCATGTCATGTTTATCATTTAAATTAATATGTAGTATCCTGATCCTCAGAAACAATTTAGACACATTTGAGTAAGTATTTTAAGATATTACCTTTGTTAAAATGACTAACCGTTGGACGTTGAGGCAATAAATCTAGTAGGTGGAGACCTAATGCTGATGGTAAATACTGAAATGTTTTCTATTCTTCTGAACTTCAAATATATGTTATTATTTATGGCATGGTGATTACAGCATATCATCTAAATCTAGCTGCTGGTAATTAATGCTAATATGATTAAATAAAATCTCAAATCCGAAGAAATATTTATTGCATATATAGGATCACCAAAATTGTTTGTACAGTAGGTAATTTCAAATAACACGGACAAGTTATGTACAGTATCTAACGACAAGTATTTTCCATTTCTTCCATCATCATCATCCATACAGTTACACTTTATATTTACATAGAATAACAAATTTTAGAATTAGACAATATTTATCTTAGAATTCAAGTATACTGATCGTACGTTATTACTAAATTCTTACTAATATCTATGACATTACAGCAAATAAAATTAAAATGTGATTATACTTTAGAAAATCTATAGTATTTATAAAGCTGACTTGAACCCTTTTAAATGAATTAATTTATATTAAAATACTGGCAGTAATTTGTCAGTAAATACGCAATTTTTTTCTTTTTAAAAAATCCGTTTTTAATTTTATGCGTGTGCTAATTTTATCATAAATAATGCTAAATTTAAATAGAGAGTGGTCACCTACAACATCGTTTAGGTCAAACAAGAATTAAAGTGTATAATGAATTTAATATATTTTTACATTTAGAATAAATAGTTCAGAGGCGTTAAGTCAGCTTTGTCCTAATCGTAAATATGTACCTACATTAACTGCTACAAATATTTCAATAAATATAACTGAAATGTCCCAGAATTTACACAATTAAGTAATTATATGTTTTAATTAACGAACACATGTCAACAATAAACACGTAGAAGATTGTAGAAGATTGAGCTATTTTTTTTTTCAAAGCTCATGCATTGATTACAAATGTTTTATTTTTGCATTAGACAATTATTTAGAAACATGTGGACATAAAATTACAATTTTTTAAATTATATAATAAGAAACTACCCCCAAAAGTTAGTGCACAGCCCATGGTAGATACCTTTAAACGTAAATAATTTAGGAGTAAATAAAAGTATCACTACAACTAACTAATTATAAAATTTAGAATTTTACAAACGATTTTTTAACAAGCTTGACGAAATCATACTTTACAATTTTGCATCACATTTTTATATAATATGTATATGGATTTTCTTTTATTATGGCCAACTATATCTATGCCGTTAATTGACGCTATATTGTATGTTTTAAATATTTAATAAACTAAATATTTTTAAGCAAGCAATCAAATCTTCCATTCCCGTAATGTTTCCCTGTGTTTTGTAGAGAAATACATTACATTATATTATAGCATGTATATATAAGATAAATTTCGAAAAGTAAAATTCGTCATTGTGACTCAATTTTTATGTTACATTATGTTCTTACTTACGTACTTCTTAATAAACGAGACAATTTTTATGACTTTAGTTTTAGTATATAGATAAAAGGACAGCAAGTGTGATCTTGTTATATAATAACATTTCTATGACATCAATTATTTTTACTTCAATTGTTATTTAAATGCGTCGGTCTACTATACCAATAAACATACGAATAAGTACTTACAAATAATTTTCTATACAGTACACATATATAATTATTAATCTACAACTGGATCACAAACATTAGTTTATTAAATAAACTGAGCTACTAATTACATTACTAATAATAGGGAAATTAAAAATAAGTTATTTTAAAGGTTATATTTACATTTCATTTGACTTGTTCGGTCACAAAATATTCAGGTCCGCAATACATTTTGTGACTGTTCCACAGTTTAGTCTGTGGTATGTTTTTAAGATATAAGTTTAATTTCATATTTTGACAAGCAGTTAACGAACATTTTCTAAACAATTGTGGTACGGAAATACCTATTTAAATTAAAAACCAAAAGTTTTATTGTCTTTAAACCAACATCGATCGTATAATTGAGATACATCTACAATATTACACAAAGTAAGAATAGACACCCCAATTTGAGAATATTCCATATTATATTTAAGTTTATAATTATGAATGGTATTAACTTACAAAGCTTAGAGCAATTTGAATGCAATGGTGTGTAAAGACTTATAACTTGGTACTGTATGATCAAGTGTAATAATTACTAATTCTAAGCGTTAACTTTGTACGGTATATACGTATATGAGCTTCAAGATTTGTTTTGTTGATAAGTTTGAACATCTTTTACATGCATAAACAAATTTATTATTTGTATTAAAGTTCATAAAATGACTAATTTGCGCTTATAAATTATCTATAAGGTATCCTATAACATAGAACGCGTCTTAAAAAAATAAAGAATAGAAATAGTGAGACCGAAAAATATGGTGAACGACTATGGTCAAACAAAAAAAAAACACACGTTAAATTACAAAACCGTCCTCTATGCCCATCTTCGAAATGGGCCTTTTTCTTTGTAGAGAAGTTTGCCTTAATCGTCACATTTGTTTCGTAGATTCGCACCTTTAGCGCTGCTATCCGTCGCCGGCCCGGATATTTAACAGCTGACGTAAACGAGATTGTTATATCTCTGGTTATCGGAAGGATTTTTTTGGAATTTGCGCTTGTCGCCTCTAACGACATGTCGAAGTGGGTGCAAAAATGTTTTATGCTGCCATAACACGGCGCGTTAATCTTGTAAAACTTTAGTATCTCTCGCAGTTCGATGGCTTTTGGGTAACTAAATAGTAATTTAGTTAAGCCCAGGTATTAAATTTTTAGAAAAAGGAAAAGTTATTAGACTGTTTGAAGGTAAGTTACGTGTTTCGGTTGTTTAAATTATCAAAAAATGACATTCCAAATCGTTATTTTCGGTTCGGAAAAATAAAAAAACATGTCATTAACTGTGCATTTTGAACGAAATTAGTTAATCTTTCATTGTAATCTTATGTATTATATTGGCATTGAGGGCAGCTATATTATTCATACAAATGCTCAATAAATATAAATATACCTACATTTTTAGATTTCAAAGAATGTTCAGTAGTTAGTAATGCTACCGTTAAATTGTACACGGAGCATGACAACTAATAGAAACGGCAACAAGTTACACTTGCATACAGTACCAAACTCTTATCTCCGCTCGCTTAATATCACCGTCATCGCAGGCCGAAATGGACCATAACTGAAGAAAGCAACAAAAGGCAGGTGACGCTTGAAGTGATGCCATGTATTGCGCTTGTATTGCGACGCAAGATCGCCGCCATCTTGTTGCCTGAAATTTGGCAAAATGAATATTATTTTCCGCGCAACGAGATTTATGTTATTATCATATGCATTTTATTTATAACTGAAATTAAAATAATAAATAGTTATGTTGTTTTAAGAATCTTTTTTTAAGAAAGAGAGAAAAAATCGCTATCACTACGGCTTCATAAGTCCACTGCTGAACATAGGTCTTTCCCATAGATTGCCACAAAGTACGGTACTGAGCCACCTGAATCTATCTACTACCTGCGTGCTTAATAAGGTTTTTACACCATCTAGAGGGGACGGGGGCGCTCAATACTGTGCTTGTTACTACGACACTGCCACTCAAGAGTCTTTCTTCCACATTGGTTGTCGAAATACTAGCAATGACTCATAAATTACATGAACTTTGATAATTAGCTTTTCACTCCAATTAAGTTTTAAATATTTGTGTGAGGAGTGATTCACGACAGTCAATTGTATTATGAAATAGGACAAAGGATACTTTATAACAATAATTGCTAAAGTGAAATTTGTAAAATAAAAGGAGTTTTTTTTTAAATAGGATAGAGATTTACTCTTATGACGGAAGGGATAAAGTCCTTAAATACACGAAATTAATAATCACGTTTTTCGTTCGTCTATTTTTCACCTTTCAATTTAATTAAAGGCATATTAATATATATAATAGATACACATAAATGTATATTAAGCTTCTAATTTTCCACACTAGGTGGCTAATTACTACTCTTAATAACCTAATGAATTGCGCGGTGATATTTAGAACGCCTGAAGTATTAACGAACTGAAACTGAAAGCATTTTAAAATTGTACACATATGAATAATGATACACACCATAATTAGTCATTAACAGTCTTTTTCGATAAAAATTCGGCTGAACACATGCTTTTCAATAGATTATATGATAGGGAAGATACTTGTTATAGTGGCCTCGCTGGGCAGGTGGTTTTTATTGTGTTGACTAGATATCAGGAAGATGCTGCATCCCATCTCCTGTTTCAGTTTCCCTCTTACTTCACCCATTGCATGATATAGGGTAGTGGAAATTCATACGTCGCTAATACATGTACAGAGTCAGCATCAGTGGTTAAGTAGCTTCTAAATAAAAACGAGTATATTATAATAATAATAATAAGCCATTAGTCGGCCTTTAGTAATCTGTAGCGATCTGAAATATTTCCTGTCTACTAATTTTCTTGGTCCCGTTGCTGTTTTTCATTTTTACAATCCATCTTTTTTTATTAATCAATTCTTTGTACGCTTTCTTTATTGCTCCTGTCTGTCTGATATGTCTCTGTATTGTTTCCATCCGCCGTTGTCTCCTCTCTTTTCTTACGTTTTCTTTTATTTCTTTGCTAATTTTGCTATTTTTTTCTATTATTGTCTGTAGTTTTCGCTCTTATTAGAGCTACTCTTTGGTCGAGGAAGTCGGTAGGTTTTTCATCATCCAATTGTTTAAATTATCTTTTTTGGTGCTATGCTCTTTACTAGTGGTTGTAAATGTGCGTTCTAACCAATTGTATTTTCCTGTATGTCGGCATATTTTATTTCTCTTTTGTATATTGAGTTTAATTAATTGGTTAGTTTTTCTATTAGGCATTTGTTAGGTTTTATGTTCTCTGGATTTATTTTTGATCTGGGGTTTTTGGGTTGGGTTGAATTCAGTTCAGCTCTGACCATGTGGTGGTTGTTGTCAAAATTTAGATTATTGATAACATTTATGCTTTAAAAGCAATAAGGTTTATTGGTCATTATAAAATCAATTTAATACTTTGACTTACCATCGAGTGACAACCATGTCCAAATTCTGTTTTTATTTCTTTTAATATAGTGTTTAGTATGGTCAGGTTATTTTCCATTGTAAAGTAATTGAGCCTTTTTCCGTTATCATATAGTTGAATCTTCATCCCATTGACGTTATTCGGTTTGACCATTAACGTCACCCATCACGATGATATTTTTGTGAGCCTGTGTCTATAAAGTTGTTTCTATCTAATCCTGGTAAAACTGGCTATTTGTTTCGGTTTCTGCTTGGTCTGTGGGTCAGTAAATCTAGGTAAAATGGTCCATGGGTCTTTATAATCTGGTAGTTTTAAATTCAGCAATGCTGTGCGCTGTTACACCATAAAATCCATTTATGTGCTTTGCTATATATTTTTTGACTAAAAAACCCACACTGTATTTTCCTTGGGTTTCCCCTATGTGATAGAATGTGAAGTCTGGATGTGCGACAATTTTTTTCCCATTCTTCGTACTTCATTCAGGCCAAAGATATCCCAGTTTGTGTTTTGTAATGCCAGTAATAATTCTAATAAGTTCTCTTCTGATCTTAGAAGTACGTTTACGTACATAGTACGCTTAGAGAAGTAATGTATATACTTGTATGTTTGTTCGATGAAGTCTCAGTGGTAGTCTTTTACTTGGATAGGTTAGTTTGATGTTGTGTTTCTTTTTGACTGTGTGGTATTTTGTTTCAGGTTAGTAGTTGAGATAAGTATTTTTTCGGACATAGAATATGTTCGCTCGCGCATAAGTTGATATGCGTCCTTTCGTGGAATTTTCTTGCTATTGTTGTGGGTTGTTTCTTTTGGGCTTGGTGACCCTGAGGTTCTTTTTCTTTTTTTATTTTCAAGAAAGAAAACTGGCTCTCGCTTTACGTTTTTCCATGTGTAATTAATACGTGTTTTCTTTCATTTTCTTTTTATTTCGAAGTATTTGGATTTTTTTTCTGAAGAGTTGTTATCGTAAGCAGAATAGGTCTTTTATTTCTATTTTCCCCTCTTCTACCAAGACGAGTGTGGCGTAATAATATTAATACATTAATATTAACACCACTAAAATGCTTCTGATGCATCTACACTAATTAAGCTTTGTACCTTGCGGTGGCGGTGGAAGAATATCCACTACCCCATCATCCTGTGCGTCTTAAGAGGTTACCTATCATGTTACCGCACGTATTATTATTAGTGTGCTTTGCAAGTACAATTTGTGATTACGCGGGGATAGGAACAGAAACGGAGATGCATAATATTTGCGACTTAATGCCCCGGCCGTTAGGTCATACATAGATATTGGTTTTATGCAGCCGAGTGGTGGCCAAATTTGGAGATATGAGTGTTGTAATTTTTGGGATCGTATTGCGGTTTTATAGATATTCTGTCATAATAAGATTTTATTGTTTAATGTTTCGATTCTAAAATCGAAACAACGGGCGCTTATTTTTAACCATACTGTTTCTTGTACTAAATCAAACAACTTTCAAATAAATTATGAAGAATAATCTTTAATTCTTCCACATAAGGTATTAAATTTTCGTTTATTAAAAGTTATTGTACTATCATTTTAAAATAAGGTATCTCTGACTGATCAATTAGAAACTACGTAAACTGATTAAAGATTTTACACTTTACCCAAAAATGTTACACTTTAGAGGGTACTCGAGAACTAGCTACGCCATTGAATATATTAAACACTCACTGCCTTCAGAGACGAACACATGTATAGAGGCCGGTTCAGTGTTGCTGGCGCTGCAGGTGTAGTTGCCGGAGTCTTTGAGCGTGGCACCGCGGACGGTGAGGCGTGACTGTGTGCGCGCACCCGGCTCCGTCTCCACGCTGATCCCACCACGGATCGCATCGTAGTTTATCATCCGGTCGTTATGGTACCAGAATACGAATTGGGGTGGTGTCGGACTCTGAGAACAAATGATAATGTTATTTTATTAAAGTATGGTTATTATTATTTCTTTAAATATTTTCTTCAGTCAGGTTTATTTGATGGATAGCTTTTACCGATGATTTTAAAAAAAAGCGTTAGGACTTATTATTTTTATCCTTTTTTAAACTGTTTAGACTTCTTAATGCAGATCATGAAAATACTTTGCATTTATGTGTGTATGTGTTTATATAAATAAGTATAGATATATCTATATTTATAATATAACATTATAATGTATCCATCCATCCGTCCATCCATCTCAGCCTGTAAAGGTTAAATGCTGAACACAGACCTCCACCATGGATTGCCACCACCACCGGTTTGGCAACCGCAGTTATTTTATTATTTTTAGTTGTTATCAGGAATATGCTGCCGCCCATTATCTATTTCAATTTCCTTCTGTAGGCTTTTACGGCACCCACCGAATGTATAATATATTATATATGTTTTAGCTTAATTATATTAGCTTAATTAGATGTATAATATATGTTTAAGCCCAATTAGGTAGGTACTAAAATATAAAAATTCTGATTAAGGTTTTGAAATGTTTTTAAAGCTTGATGAAATGCTTTGAATAGAATTAGAAAAAGCTAATGTTGATATCATCCTCTACACTCGGAAGGAATAAGATTATTTAGTGACATAAATATCAGTATCGAGATTGAACCCTTCGTTTTTTGTTTTTATAATTGATGGAAAATTTTACAATGTTTACTACTGTCTAGTTTACGCTACAGTCTTTGGACAACGAGCTAGCGAATTTATAGCCCTCATAGCAATAGTCGTGAACCCGTTACAGTGAGAATAACATTAGTGACCAATAAAAGATACGAATGATCTCATTGCTATAGCAATAGTAGCTTTTATGCGTCCAATTTCAGTTTATACACTCCCGAATTCCGTTGTATATATCCACTGTATTATAATGGAAACATTCACTTGGGATCACAAAGTTTTGGTACTAGAAATAAGTGTATAACTGGACATTTGAATAGCTTCGTTTAATTACACTATGGTTATAACGTATTATAAATTATTTTTATATCATATTGCAATATGTTTGGGAATGAGGCTTCAAATAAACGTCGCTCTCACTCAAGTGTTCTTATATTTTTAAAATTAATTATGTTAAATTAAATAAAAAAATTTGCTCGGTAACACTCGCCGTATTGGTATCTACGTCTTACGTTTTTACTTCCGTTCTATCTAAAGCATAGAGCATAGTACTGCTCAAACACAAAATCCTGTTCTATACCAAGAAGTAAAATAATCACTATGTTTTATTTGTCTATAACATATATGCCTTATTCTCTCTTATGTCTGCTCGCTCATACTGTACCTTTTGTTGTATTTGTATTTGTACATATATTGTGGCAGCGCTTTCGTTGCATCTCAAGCAAAACACACCGAAGCCTACATCAAGCTATGTAAGTTCTGAAGTTAACGCGTTATATATAGAACAGCTCCAAAATAACATACGGAGCGTTGGTCGCTCCCCGGGCAGAACACCTTGCCCGGCGGGAGATCTCCCCTTTTCCTTCAACGGCCAAACTATCATCAATGTAACATTTTATTGCTTTCATACACTCATGTTCTATTCCTAAATTATAATATTGTAAGTAGATTAAATACGAGATACTAATAGCGAAACTGCTGCTTTCTACCTTCAAAAACAAAAAGAGTAAAAAGAGTTATTTTTTTAAATTTTAAACAATAAAAATATAATATACCACGTTTTTTAATTTTTTATTTTTTATTCATATTCCTACATTGACATTCGATTCTGAGTCGAAATGTGAGTTACAAAACTCCACCCGGAACGACAGACAGACAGACAAATAATGACAACAAGTCACTTTCGAATTAATAAAAACGTGGTAATATCATAGAATATCGTAAGTGTAGGAAGCAAAAAGCTTTGAATTTACCCTGATATATGATATACTTAGTAATTTAAAATAAATATTGCGTAACAAGTAAGTGTTTATACAAATTACAAAAAAAAAACTTTGGCATGCTTTAAGACATTAAAAGGTGAAAAAAATTATATTAGCACTCTCCAGTCTTGAGCTTTATTGAAATAATTTTATTAGGTGAAAGAGGTCTTTTCTTTCTTAATATAATATCGGTAAGAAACAGCCTGTTTTAACCATGCTTTACTGTTCTCGTTAAAAGGATTAAAAGAGTGAGCATAACAACAGGTTAAGAGATATTTCATATTAGTCGTTAGAGGTAAAAACGCATCGTTAATTTTCTTAATCTGAAGAAAGTTACCGATGTCAATAGATTACAATAGCCACATACCATGGGACGGCCTGTTAGCTAATTAGTTCATTTGTCACTGTTTATAAAAAAGTCAACTCACCTTTTCGACGATACAGATGAGATGAATAACGCTGCCGAGGTCAACATGGTGCTCCCCAGAGCCCAAAATAAAGGCTTCCGGCACCACGATCTGGAGTCGTACATAGTGGGATACGATGCCAGTACGGGTAGATACCTGAAATTAAGTGCACGTGTTAATGCTAAATGCATCAATCCTATTAGTAAGACAAACTATTAAGATTTCATCTCGAGTGCGCGAGCTTTACAAGAAACGTTGATTGCCCGGTGCCTATATTCCTAAAACATTTAATTCTCCGTTTTATTATCAATTGTATCTAGAAAACGGCAAACAATTATTTCGTCAACATACGATGAAGAAGAAAAAACTTTAGTTTTCGTAAGTATTTGAACTGGTATTTTGTTGAATGACTCTTATCTTTACAGGATTTATAGCGTTTAATTTACTTATTTTTATATTCGCGACACGAAGCAAGTCTTAAAATGTGTAATTTTATTCTGCGTAGATCCAACAAAAGTAATATTAAAAAGTTAGTAAAAACTACAATAATAAGTTAAAGGGTTAATTTTGACATCAGGACGTTGATCATCACAATTACTCCCCTGTACATGTATGCTCCAAGGTATTACAAGTGTCGGATAGTAAAAATACGTAAATTGAACGCGACAAAATTCGAGTATGCAGTACCTAATACTACGTTTTGGTGTTAGTGTAGTTATTTCAAAATATATTTGGTATAGAAGAAATGGAATTTTATATAATGGGGTGACAAGGGTGACAAACGAGCACACAGTCTACCTGGTGGTAAGATGATAATAGTTTGTGGCCCATTGATATCTACATCTACCCTCGGTAAAGAATCAAAATGCACATGCGTTGTCACCCCTGAGAATAAAAATGGAATGCCTTATTTCCAGTAAAGAGAGTCTCCGGTTCTTTACACTCACCATATGAAACACAGCAGCATTTAGCTGCTATTTTACTGGTTTTCTGTGAGAGCGTGGTCCTTACCCGGTCGATTCGATCTATTCATGCTACAAGTATAATATAGCTACAGCGTGGTTCTACCACTTAAAAATATTGATACGCGGTGTTGAACAATCATAGATTATTTTAATTATGAAAATCGTCGATAATGACGTTAAGCTTTATATTATTTGTAAACTTGTGGTTAGCTCTTGACAATAATTTTCAATGAATCACTTCCTTCCATTTCAGTTTTAGTTTTACACTGTCGCCTCTTACGACACCCATGGGATGATTGCGGACAGTGAATATTCCTACACCGCCACTATACTATTAATATATTATTCTTTATTGCAGAAATATCCACATTTAAACAATAAAGAGATTTATCCATTTTTTGCACAAGGAATTGTTGTTCACAAAGGATGAAGAACACAGAGGTGTACTTTATTATACACTTAATAATTATAATATTATAGTTTTCTTATGCTTAATACATAAATCTCTCACGAGATACAAATACATCTACTGCATGTATATTTTTAACAGTGGTAGAGCCATGCGGCAGCTTTTGCTGTCGCACGGATGGGCCGGCTCGAGCCGGGGAGGTACCACGACCTCACAGAAAACCAGCGTGAAGTAGAGGTTTACCTCTGCGTTTCGCTTGGTGATTGCAGGTGGCCGGAGGCCCATTTTACTGGAAATGAGGCATTCCATCTAAGTCCTCACGGGTGACAACGCATCTACATTTTGATTTGTAATAAAGGATAGATGTCGATGTCTATGGGCCGCAGCAACCACTTACCATCAGGTGGACTGTGTGCTCGTTTGTCTCCCTTATAAAAAAAAATGTATCGAGCTTATGCACAAATTTTCCATAAGAAATAAGGAGTGTTTGTACACAACAACCATTCAGAAATGTTTATCACATAAAAAAGCTAACTCATATCTTTTAGTACACCATTTTGTTAACGCATTTGAATTTAATGAAACGTATGAGCAGCTTGCTGCCAACTATGAACCTGTGCAAGTACCTGATTAATCAAACCCGTGTAGCGCTACTCTGACTTTGCATGCTTTTGTTTTATGCAGAAATTAACTGATGGAATGTTTTACTGGCACTATGCGTACTATCTTTAGAATCAGGTTTAACATTGCTTTCAAGTTCTGCTAATAGTAGTAATGAACTACAAATTACCAGCTTTAGTACGTCAAAGCATACGCTTTAAGTTCTGCCAATTTACACATGAACTCACATCGCTTTTTATTAGTAAATTATGTGTATATGTATGATTGCAATGTATTTCTATCCATTTGTCATCGATTTTCGGACGTCTCAATAGCATTATATTTGAACCGATGCTAACAAAATACTTTCAAAAATATGAGCTATTCTATAGGATCATCAGAGCTCAATATTAATCGTGTTGTTTAGTATTTCTTTATGATGCAAATCTTATTAAATTCTGAATATATTTATTTAATTAAATAAGTTATATTATATTTAATTGAAGAACTCTACTATCTCTACCTTTTCTTTTAATGTGACAAACACATTCAGGTACTTTTTTTCCCACATATAGGTACTATACTTCCATATAACCTGTTGTCTTTACTTCATAGAAAATATTAATTGATTAGTAAAATTGCTAACAATAATTTCATTAGTACCCGGGGATGGGACCTAGGATGAAATACCTCACAGACTGTAATTTTAGTGGCTCGCTATACCCTTCAGACGGGAACACATCAGAGCAAATACTGCTATTATGCGGCAGAAATAGCAAGAGGATGGCTGAGACCTACTTAGACGGACTCCTTAGCAGAAAAGCAGTCCCATTTTTAACATTAAATATTTAAAAACTCTCTTTAGGGAACTTAATTTTTAAAGTTAGATTATTAACATTAAACCAATGCACTAATTTTTATTTAGCATTATTCACTTCGTCACATTTAAATTATTGACGTTTATGTTTAAAAATCAAGGAAGAATCATCAGCAAACAATACTATTTCATGATTATCCCCTACAATTGAAGGTAAGTCATTAATATACAAAAGAAATAGGAATGTGCCGAGAATGGAGCCCTGAGGGACACCCATTAGAACAGGTGACCCGGCAGAACTTTTACCGTTGATAATAACTTTCTGCATTCTATTACTTAAACATGAAATAATAAAATTAAGCGCTGTGTTCTTGACACCATAATAATGTAGCTTCAAGAATAATGTCTCATGGTGAACGCAGTCGAAGGCCTTGGAAAGGTCACAAAATATACCCAAAGCATCCTCTGAATTATCCAATTCACAAATAATATATTTAATAAGCTCAACTCCAGCGTCAGTTGTCGAGCGACCCTTTGTAAAATAGAATTTATATTTATGAAGCAATTTATTAATATTAAAGAAACTTAACATCTGATCTAAAATTATTTTTTCAAAATTTTTAATAAATGTTGGTAGTACAGAAATTGTTCTTAAATTGGTGGGGTTTAATATACTACCAGATTTAAATAAAGGTATGACTTTACTATGTTTCATTAAATCAGGAAACACACCAGATTCGACGCTTGTATAAAATATAGTGGCTAGATAAGGTGCTATTATATCTATTATAGATAAAATAACTAACGGAAATCCCCCATTAGTCCTTAACCGTTTTCTTAACATCAATAGTTTTAAAATATATAACGATATAATCTTTTGTCAGTACTCTATGGAATTGAAAAGTATCTGAACAAGCCTTTACATTTTGTATAAGCAATGATTCGGCAACAGTAGGACTTAAATCACTTTTATTACGACCAATTCAATTAACGCAAACAATGTATATTTATACACTCCTAAAAGGATCAACGGGTTGTTATATACTGTATAACTGGATAGTGTAGCTTTCAAAGAAAAGTATTTTGAGAATGTGATTAATAGTTTAGAATAGAATAGAATAGAATGATTTTTATTCAATATGGATTATTACATAATACTTATTGAAAGTCATTATTTTATTTACCACTGGTTCGGAAAATACCTCTGTCCTGGGAAGAACCAGCAAGAAACCCAGCGGGACTTTTTTTTTTAAACATAATTTCACTTAACAATAATTTTGATTATACAATTTTAAATGAATTTTCATAGAACCAGCATGGTGGCGATCACCTTATTCCCAGGGGTTATTTTCACTCATGTATTCCTTGATATTATAATAACCCTTTTTGTACAGTTTTTCTTTAATAAAACTTTTAAACTTGTTTATTGACAAACTTTGAACATGTTCTGGGATTCTGTTGTAAAAGCGTATACATTGCCCCATAAATGAATTACTAATTCTGTGGAGTCTTGTAAGTGGCATTACAAGCTTATGTTTGTTCCTAGTGTTTAAGGTATGAACATCCTTATTCTTATTAAAGCTATTTATGTTTTTATGTACATACATTACATTTTCATAAATATATTGCGATGCCAAAGTTAATATGTTTATTTCTTTAAATTTTTCTCTAAGGGACTCTTTACAATTTAGATTATAAATCGCCCGTACGGCTCTCTTTTGCAAAACAAATATAGCTTCAATATCAGTCGCATTACCCCATAGCAAAATTCCATAAGACATTACGCTATGAAAGTAACTAAAATACACTAACCTAGCTGTCTCAACATCTGTGAGACTTCTAATCTTTCTTACAGCATATGCTGCAGAACTAAGTCTGCTTGCTAATTTAGATATATGGGGGCCCCATTGAAGTTTCGCGTCAATAGTAATACCGAGAAAAACAGTGGTATCCACAAGACTCAACTCCTCCCCATTTAAGAGCACATTGGTTTTCGAATGTTTTACATTAGGTATTGTAAATTTAATACATTTTGTCTTATTGCCGTTTAAGAGCAAATTGTTGGCGTTAAACCAATGTACTAGTTTCGATAGAGCATTATTTACATCGTCATATTTAATTGACTGCCGTTTCAGTTTGAAAATTAAAGATGTATCGTCAGCAAATAATACTATATCGTATGTTTAATAGATAATCTCCTGAAAATAAACATACGTATATATTTATAAATAATGTAAGTGTATAAGTGAAGAAACAACCCTTTAGTATCAAGAAATACATTTTCTATTTTATAATGGCAAATGTTTTAATATTATATTTAGAGCATTTAATTTCTACACCTTAGGGACCGAAGTATTAAAAATAT